AAAATTTCGACCCGAAAAAAAAACGACAGTGTTACCCCTTACGTTTTTTGCGTTTTCGGGCGAAAAATCAAGTTTCTCCAATCTTCTCAAAACTCTGGATTATGATAGAGGGCCGCGAGACTTTGCCCTGAGCGCAAAAATGGAGGCTCTAGACCCTTCCAGAGCTGAGATATCGAAACTCAAAATTTCGACCCGAAAAAAAAACGACAGTGTTACCCCTTACGTTTTTTTGCGTTTTCGGGCGAAAAATCAAGTTTCTCCAATCTTCTCAAAACTCTGGATTATGATAGAGGGCCGCGAGACTTTGACCTGAGCGCAAAAATGGAGGCTCTAGACCCTTCCAGAGCTGAGATATCGAAACTCAAAATTTCGACCCGAAAAAAAAACGACAGTGTTACCCCTTACGTTTTTTTGTTTTCGGGCGAAAAATCAAGTTTCTCCAATCTTCTCAAAACTCTGGATTATGATAGAGGGCCGCGAGACTTTGACCTGAGCGCAAAAATGGAGGCTCTAGACCCTTCCAGAGCTGAGATATCGAAACTCAAAATTTCGACCCGAAAAAAAAAACGACAGTGTTACCCCTTACGTTTTTTTGCGTTTTCGGGCGAAAAATCAAGTTTCTCCAATCTTCTCAAAACTCTGGATTATGATAGAGGGCCGCGAGACTTTGACCTGAGCGCAAAAATGGAGGCTCTAGACCCTTCCAGAGCTGAGATATCGAAACTCAAAATTTCGACCCGAAAAAAAAAACGACAGTGTTACCCCTTACGTTTTTTTGCGTTTTCGGGGCGAAAAATCAAGTTTCTCCAATCTTCTCAAAACTCTGGATTATGATAGAGGGCCGCGAGACTTTGCCCTGAGTGCAAAAATGGAGGCTCTAGACCCTTCCAGAGCTGAGATATCGAAACTCAAAATTTCGACCCGAAAAAAAAACGACAGTGTTACCCCTTACGTTTTTTTGTTTTCGGGCGAAAAATTCAAGTTTCTCCAATCTTCTCAAAACTCTGGATTATGATAGAGGGCCGCGAGACTTTGCCCTGAGCGCAAAAATGGAGGCTCTAGACCCTTCCAGAGCTGAGATATCGAAACTCAAAATTTCGACCCG